CCGTGATAGATTGCCACCTATGCAATATGTCCATCCATGAAATTTCCTTCCTAGTAAATATTCAGTAAAAGTGGAAGCAACTGGAAACAACAGCAACTCAGCCATGAAGTGATATGCCACGTAAAATGACAGAGCAGGGTCAGCGCATGCTGAAGCGCACAGAAGTCGCCAACTGTCTGCAGAGTCAAAAGCTAAAGACCTCAAAACTTCATGTGGCCTTCAGATTAGCACAACAACAAGGCGTAGAGAGCTTCATGGAATGGGTTTCCATGGCCGAGCAGCTGTATCCAAGCGTTACACCACCAAGTGCAATGCAAAGTACTTGGTGCTTAACTGGCCTGCACCTAGTCCTGACCTCAACCCGATAGAACACCTATGGGATGAATTAAAGTGGAGACTGTGAGCCACACCTTCTTGTCTGACATCAGTGCCTGACCTCACAAATGCTCTTCTTGAAGAGTGGTCAAACATTCCCATAGACACACTCCTAAACCTTGTGGACAGCCTTCCAAGAAGAGTTGAAGCTGTTGTAGCTGCAAAGGGCGGGTCAACACAATATTGAACCCTATGGACTAAGACTGGGATGCCGTTAAAGTTTATGTGCATGCAAAGGCAGGTGTCCCGAAACTTTTGGCAATATAGTATATATATACTGTATATATATATATATATATATATATATATATATATATATATATATATACATTAGTGTGTGCTTCCAACACACTGAGGGAACCAAAATTACTTTGTGATTTCTATTTCTTTTGTGGAACAACTTTTGTTCAAATTGTTTCTTTTTAAAAACACTCATTCAATATTCCAATTGTTAGTGGGTCAAATTGATATTCGATTAAAACCACAAATGAGCAATTTCGAAGGAGCAGCATGGAAAATGTTCTCTCTTTCTTTTAATAAAGTCCATTAGTTCCTAAATCAATTGTTAAAAGCAAATCATATTTTGAAGTACTTTTGAACGACATTCACACAGCTGTCAAATGTACTGGAAACCTCTTATTTGAATGTTAGTAAGAATGTTCATTTGAAAATCTGCTTGTGTGTGGCCAGCCTAAAGGGCAGAAAGAAAGATTTAGTAAACCATTTTTAAAGCCCAGTTACAGTTTGTTTTTTTTGGGTTTTTTTTCATTGATCATCAGTTTTGAGCATATAAAAACAAAACTACCAATTTTCATGCTTCTTCTTGGTTAGTACTTGGTAAGTTCTGAAGACATTGGATAAGCATTATATCCTGAGAACCAGCATTTTCAGGAGAAAATAAAGGTTCAGTGCAGGTTTCCTAAAAGTAGTGAAGGCAAATATACTATATGTCAAGTTCAAGGACATTTTACCTCCATACCTGTATGAGCTTGCTGGGTATCCCATTCTAACACCTTGGCCAGTAAAATGGAGTTGGCCCGTTTCCAACTACAACAGTCTCCACACTCCTAGGTTGATTTTACAGAAGAGTTTGCAGTGTATCTGTGGAAATGTTTGCCACTTCAGTCAAAAGAGCATTTCCAAATTCAGGCACTGATATTGGACAAATAGACCTTGCTTGCAAATCAAGTTCTAATCCACCCCAAAGGTGTTGAATAGGGTTGTTGTGGCGGAACCGTTCCGCCTGGGCTTCCTCGTGCGGAGCGATATGTCCCACCCAATGGTCCTCTTTTCCAGCCAGTCTTCCAAGGCAGATATTATAGCTAAAAAAACCCTCCCTTTTGCTCTACCCAAAACCACGAGTCGGAACTTCGTGTAGGGTGAAAAATGACTGAATCTTTATTAAACACAGCTCAGTATATACAGCTTCAACCCCACCCCCACCAGACAGCCTGGCACCGGGTTTTCCCCACCCACAACAAACCCTAGGACTAACAATACAGTATGAACTCTATTAGAAGTGAAAGACTACAAGGTCACATTTCCCTAAACAAACAGTGTAGAATGTCTGTGAAACATGTCCAGCTTTACAAAGGGGAGAAAACCAGAACAGAAAGGGCAAAATGTGATCACACAGGAACAGTTCATCACAAAGCTCCCCCGTTGTGTAACACCCGCCAGACCCGGCGAGACCTTCAAACAGGTCCGCTTGGGGCTGGTCGGTTCAGAGGGTTATTTCTCCAACTCGGCTTGCCGGGACAACCCATCCGCGTTGGCGTTTTGCTTCCCAGGTCGGTACTGGATTGTAAAGTTGTAGGGTTGGAGGGCCAAGCTCCACCGCAGCAGACGACCATTGTCCCCGGAGACCCGGTTTAGCCATACCAGGGGGTTATGATCGGTGAGTACGGTGAAGGAGCGCCCGTACAGGTAGGGCTGCAATTTCTTGAGGGCCCATACCAAGGCAAGGCACTCTTTCTCCACAGCAGCGTAGGCCACCTCCCGGGGTAACAACTTTCTACTTAAGTAGGCCACTGGATGGTCGTTCCCGTCGTCCCCGATTTGGCTCAGAACAGCGCCCAATCCAAAGGTGGAGGCATCTGTGTGAACACAAAACCGTTTGGAAGGGTCAGGAGCAGCCAAAACGGGAGCATGGATTAGATCATGCTTTAGCTTTTGGAAAGCCGTTTCACACTCTGGGGACCACACAACCTGTCGGGGCAGATTCTTCCGGGTCAGATCCGTTAGGGTTTTAGCAATGGCGCTGTAGTTGGGGATGAATTTACGGTAGTAGTACCCTGCAGTGCCTAGGAAGGCAAGGACCTGGGTCTTGGTTTGGGGGAGTGGGCCAATTTGCTACCGCTTCCACCTTCGCCGGGGCCGGTCGTTGCTTCCCACATCCTACTCGATGTCCTAGATATTGGACCTCGGACACCCCAACGTGGCATTTGTCAGGTCGGATGGTCAGCCCTGCTTGCCCAATGCGATCAAGCACTTCCCTGAGATGTCGGAGATGATCCTCCCAACTATCACTGTAGATAGCTATATCGTCTAGATAGGCGCAGGAGAAGTCCTGCAGTCCATCCAGCAGCTTATCTACCATTCTCTGAAAGGTAGCCGGGGCATTCTTCATCCCAAACGGCATGACCCTGGACTGGTACAAGCCGAACGGGGTGATGAATGCTGACTTTGGTACTGCGTCCGCATCCAGCGGAATCTGCCAGTACCCCTTGCAGAGATCGATAGTGGTAAGAAAATTACCTCTGGCCATCCGGTCCAGCAGCTCGTCTATCCGGGGCATGGGGTATGCATCAGTCACGGTCCGGTCATTGAGCCTGCGGTAGTCCACACAGAAACGGACAGTTCCATCTTTCTTGGGTACCAGGACTACTGGGGAGGCCCAGGGACTGTCAGAGGGTTCTATCACACCTAAATCTAACATTTCCTTAATCTCTCTTCTCATCCCTTCTCTGATGGACTCAGGCACTCGGTAGGCCGCCTGCTTCAGAGGGGCCTGACCCTGCGTGTCTACCCGGTGGACAGTTGTGGTGGTGTAACCGGGCAGAGACGAGTACAGCTCTCGGTGTTCTTGGAGCAGTTGGCGGGCCTGTTCCTGGGCCTTGGGAATCTGTTCAGAGGTGGGAGAGCTGCCAAACAGAGCCAAACGCCACTCCGCCTCTTGTTGTAAATCCGAATGGTATAGGGGTCTCCGTGCGGTGCTAAGCGGGCCTGGCGTTTCAGGGGCCGATGAGCTGCTCTGTTCCTCCAACTCCTGTGAAGCGGAGTTCACTTCTGGCAGAGCAATGTTCGCTTCAAGCGTAGCGGAGAGTGCATCAGGTAAAGTGGGGTGTGCATCCCCTTGGTCTAAGGCCATAATCTCGCCCAACAATTTCTCTCTGGTCTTGGAGCCAGCGATACCTCCCCGAGCAACAAGCAGGCTTTGGAGGGCTGGCTTCCGGAGGTCCCGTATATCCATCTGGCTGAGCAGGGACGTCTCCGTGAAAAAGATGGGGTCCCGGTTGGTGGTTTGGACTTTCTCCGCAATGAGGAAAGATCCCACTGCTGCCACCAATTGTGGCGGAACCGTTCCGCCTGGGCTTCCTCGTGCGGAGCGATATGTCCCACCCAATGGTCCTCTTTTCCAGCCAGTCTTCCAAGGCAGATATTATAGCTAAAAAAACCCTCCCTTTTGCTCTACCCAAAACCACGAGTCGGAACTTCGTGTAGGGTGTGAAAAATGACTGAATCTTTATTAAACACAGCTCAGTATATACAGCTTCAACCCCACCCCCACCAGACAGCCTGGCACCGGGTTTTCCCCACCCACAACAAACCCTAGGACTAACAATACAGTATGAACTCTATTAGAAGTGAAAGACTACAAGGTCACATTTCCCTAAACAAACAGTGTAGAATGTCTGTGAAACATGTCCAGCTTTACAAAGGGGAGAAAACCAGAACAGAAAGGGCAAAATGTGATCACACAGGAACAGTTCATCACAGTTGTGGTCAGAGCTCTGTGCATTTCAAACCATGTCTTTATGGTCTTGACTTAGTTGTACCTGAGAATGATAATTTAGAGGGATGCCTATCTGTCCACATAGTGAAAATATCAATGGGACCATAGACTGATATGGACAACCTAATGTGAACCTTAAATATCCTATACCATAATTATACAATAAGGCAAAAACATCTTTCAGAGAAGCAGTATATAATATTTGCTAGGGAATATGCTTGTGGATCTTGAAATAAAAAGTAAGATATCACTGTTGTTAAATTAGTCCCCTGCTAAGATGAAAATAATCTGATTAAGAGTCTCCATTCTATTAAATTGTGTATATATAAAGGCGAGCTTAAAGGAACAGCTGCTACTTTAATTAAAAGATGTATTTATCCCTTATCCTTCACAAAATAATACATGTAAAAGCAGTTTTACATATTGAAACATGACAGCCAAGAGACAAGAATATAATATAGAGGATAGTGAGCCAGTGGCCATCTAAAAGACAGCCAGCTTGTACTGCATCAGTATGGAAACTGCTATGACTACAACTGAGATCACCGAGAATTTTACTGCCAAGCCCACTATATTCCCCAGGTCTGGCTATAGCATCTTAGCGTTTATTATGTTTCTAAATGCTGCCTTTTCAATTTTCAATAATTTGTTGGTCATTTTGGTGACTATGAAATATCCAAACCTTCGCAATCCTATCAATATTTTTATTCTCAACCTCTCATTTTCCGATCTGTTAATCACACTGTGTGGGACCACCATTGTGATTAGTACCAATTACCATGGATATTTTTACCTGGGTGAAAAATTCTGTATTTTCCAGGGCTTTGCTGTCAACTACTTTGGTAAGATTTCTTTCTTACTACAACATTAAGCAAAATGTATTAATATTATTATATGTGTTATTATTGGATATTTTGTATATTACATAATTATATTTGTGCACAGTTTAAAATAAAGCATTTTTTTTAATTGAAATGGGGCCTTAAGGTTTAGTAAACCTGTAAATTGTATTGTTGACTGTTTTCCCCTTTTGGGAAGATTCAGCTTCTCTGTTTGTCCTGCTGAGGGCAAATCTAACTTTAGATTTACTAAAGGCAAATAGACTGTGCACTTTGCGAATGCAGCTGCATTCAACAAGGGCATTTGCTCCAGAGTTTAGTAAATGAGTGGAAGCTCTGCTGACTTCTGTCATCCAATCATGTGCAAGAAAAAAATGCTGTTTTTTTTTCCTTGCATGTGATTGGTTACTCTTTGCAAAGTGAAGCTTCACCTCATTTTCTAAGTTCTGGAGCAAATGCCCTTGAAAAGTGTAACTGCACTTGCAAAATGCATAGTCTATTTGCCTTTAGTAAATCTATCCCTATGAGTTGTCACCAGAACAGTAATAAAGGAACAGTCCTCCAACAGGGACACTTGTTGCAGGGACAACTTTCTAAGTGATTTCTTGTACTTTGGAAAGATTTCATCATTTCATGTTTTGTCTGCAGGCCGAAAAGTAAAAATCTCCTCAATGGAACACAGACAGGAAGAAAATGTCATAGATCTACCAGACCCTAACTGCTAAAAAGCATTTGTGTTAGATATATTTTAGAGCCGGTTCACATATATGTGGATCGGATGCGTTTTGAACAGCATCCAATTCGAATAGCATGTGAACAAACCTTGATTTCTATTGTGATGGTTAACACATATGTGGTGCAGCTGGAGTGCGGCTTTATTGTGAATTCAGAAAGGTTCCTGTACATTTTCTTTTCATTGACTTCTATGGGAACCACTTCTAAACCACACACACATCATTAGTTTGTGAACACAATTTCAGCACGGCTTTCTCTCTTCAAATCTGATCCTGAACCGCTTCTGAACTGGCCCTGAACTGCTGCACAACTACTTTAAATTCTTACTTAAACTGGAGCACAAAACCGCACCACACCTAGTGTGAATCCGCTCTTAATGTTTTAATCTAAATTTGGTTCACTAGTAATAATTATCATTTATATATTTTGTTCAAAATAATATGGAGGTCAAAGCTTCCCTTGCATGAAGGAAATATTTCAGCAGTTGCATTTTCTCTATACTTTATATTTTATGCATTTTTATGAACTCATATAAAGGTTCTATAACAAAATACACTGCTCAAAAAAATTAAAGGAACACTTTGAAAACACATCAGATCTCAATGGGGAAAAATCTCATCCTGGATATCTACACTGATATGGACTGGGTAATGTGTTAGGAACATAAGGATGCCCCATTGTTTGATGGAAATGAAAATTATAAACCTACAGAGGACTGAATTCAAAGATACCCCAAAAATCAAAGTGAAAAAATGATGCAGCAAGCTAGTCTCTTTTGCTGAAATGTCATTGCAGTACTTAAAATGGTACTCAGTAGTTTGTAGGGCCCTGTGTGCTTGTATGCATGCCTGACAGCATCGAGGCATACTCCTAATGAGATGACGGATGGTGTCCTGGGGTATTTCTTCGGATATCTGGACCAGGGCATCAGTGAGCTCCTGCACAGTCTGAGGTTCAACCTGGCAGCCTCGGATGGACCGAAACATGATATCCCAGAGGTGTTCTATTGGATTTAGGTCAGGCGAGTGTGGGGGCCATTCAATAGTATCAATTCCTTCATCCTCCAGGAGCTGCCTGCATACACTCGCCAAATGAGGCTGGGCATTGTCATGCACCAGGAGGAATCCAGGACACACTGCACCAGCGTAGGGTCTAACAATGGGTCCAAGGATTTCATCCTGATACCAAATGGCAGTCAGGGTGCCATTGTCTACCCTGTAGAGGTCTGTGCGTCCCTCCATGGATTTGCCTCCCCAGACCATCACTGACCCACCACCCAAATGGTCATGATGAACGATGATACAGGCAGCATAACATTCTCCATGGCTTCTCCAGACTTTTTCATGTCTGTCACATGTGCCCAGGGTGAACCTGCTCTCATCTGTGAAAAGCACAGGGCACCAGTGGCGGACCTGCCAATTCTGGTGCTCAATGGCAAGTGCCAATCAAGCTCTACGGTGCTGGGCATTTAGCACAGGGCCCACTAGGGGACGTCGAGCCCTCAGGCCACACTCATGAAGTCTGTTTCTGATTGTTTGGTTCAGAGACATTCACACCAGTGGCCTGCTGGAGGTCATTTTGTAGGACTATGGCAGTACTCATCCTGTTCCTCTTTGCACAAAGGAGCAGATACCGGTCCTGCTGATGGGTTAAGGACCTTCTATGGCCCTGTCCAGCTCTCCTAAAGTAACTGCCTGTCTCCTGCAATCTCTTCCATGCTCTTGAGACTGTGCTGGGAGGCACAGCAAACCTTCCGGCAATGGCATGTATTAATGTGCCATCCTAGAGGAGTTGGACTGCCTGTGCACCCTTTGTAGAGTCCAGGTATTGCCTCATGCTACCAGTAGTGACACTGACCCTAGCCAAATGCAAAACTAGTGAAAAACAATCAGAAAAGATGAGTAGGGAAAAAAATGTCAGTGGCCTCCACCTGTAAAGCCATTCCTGTTTTGGGGGTCATCTCATTGTTGCCCATCTAGAGGACCTGTTGTTAATTTCATTAACACCAAAGCAGCTGAAACTGATTAACAACCCCCTCTGCTACTTAACTGACCAGATCAATAATCCAGGAGTTTAACTGATTTGATGCTATACGCTGATTAATAAGTGTTCTGTTAATTTATTTGAGCAGTGTATAAATGTTTTCTTGACAACAAATGATCAATTAGGACACATTTTCAGTAAGAAAATAAAAAGTCTATACAACTAAAAGACAATGATTAAATATAATTCTAGTATGTAGAATGTTTTCACTGGGTTTGGCAATCGAATGTACAAAGATAATTTTATTATTCATAAAGCAGGATGAAAATAAAGTAAAATGCAAAAATTCAACATTTCCTTTTTAAAATATTTGCTAAAAGCATGAATCATGTCTATATTTGAATGTATTTTTGATGTTCTAGACCGACACAATAATTTCACTGTCCCTGACAAAGCAGACCTTGCATTCAATTTAATGCATTTTATTATCCACTGCTCCCTCCTCTGGTATATTTGCAAATTACAACAGCTAAATGTCTTACAACAAAATGGTAAGTTCACAATATAAACACAAGTGTAACATTCTATGTAAACATGCTTTGCTTTATATAAATGAAATTAAAAAACAAAAAAAGTAACACTGGAAAAAATTTTATGTACTAATGTATTGTTTAACCTGGCAGGTAACAGATTTTCTACTGTTCAACCAACAGGCAAGCATCAACCTAGAAATGTTATTTATTTTATATATTTCTCTTCTGCTGCAGGAATTGTATCACTTTGGTCTCTGACCATCTTAGCCTATGAAAGATACAATGTGGTGTGTGAGCCAATCGGAGCTCTGAAGCTCAGTACACAAAGGGGTTACCAAGGATTAGCTTTTATTTGGCTGTTCTGTCTAATTTGGGCAATAGCACCTCTGTTTGGCTGGAGTTCCTATGGTCTTGAAGGTGTTCAAACTTCTTGCTCCATTGGATGGGAAGAGAGATCCTGGAGTAACTATAGCTACCTGATTACATACTTTCTGACATGCTTCATTATTCCTGTTGCCATTATTGGATTCTCATATGGAAGCATTCTCCGTTCGCTGCATAAGGTATATTTCATCACCATGTTCTATTGAAAACCTTTTGCTTTTAATAAAAACCAACACACAGCAGTTCCATATATCAAAAAGGATATGTAGCACTGTCACCCTTCCTAGAGCCCCCTCCTGTCCATCAGGTTTTTTTTTATAGAAAATACCTAAAATGCAGCTCCCTGATGGTTTTTCTGTGAAGACCTGCCTAGCAGTGCACCACGTAGCAACTCAATGCTGCACCTTTTCCCCAAAACATGATCCATTAACTTTTATGAAGCACATCTACAGTTTCCTAACGTTCTATCCACTTATAAATGCTGCAAGTACAGAACATGTTTGTTCATTGGGCCAGAAATCCAGGGATGTCCTAATTTAATTTGTGAGCTACAGAACATCTCCCCCTTATGTTAGAGAAAGGGACACAGAGGACAACTCAGCAGTGCTGACAAAATTCTGGGGATTTCAGTGTAGCAGAGGCACAGAGGCTGATTCCCTTTGCAAGGGAAGTTGGACTTTGCAAGACAATTATTCCCAGAGCTTAGCGAATGTGGTAAAATTTCACTTTTAAAAGAATATCCTATCATGTGCAAGAAAAAGGGGAAAAAACAGTATTTTTCTTGCACATGATTGGATGATGAAAGTTGGCAGAGCTTCACCCCATTCGCTAAGCTGTGTGGAAATATCCCTTACAAAGTGCAGCTTCCCTTGCAAAGTGAACAGACTATTTTTATTTAGAAAATCAACCCCACCGCATTGTCACCCTACAAAAGAAAACTAAGAGCTGATCACATTTCTGGCAGGATCAACAGAATGAGATGTGTATATATATATATATATATATATATATATATATATATATATAAAACACAGTGCTCAGCAAAAATGAGCACACTCCAATAGATTTGTCAGAAAACCTTTCCTTTCCTTTCAAAATTAACATTTTCTATGGGACTCTATACTACAAAATACACCCATAAATGCGGGCTATTGATTGCAAGCAAGATTTGTTAATTTGTACGCACAAAAAAGTATTTTTCCTAACAAATTCATTCAAGACCATGTTGCAAAAATGAATACACCCCAATGAAAGTCTTAGGTACAAACTTTTAGACAACAAAATCCTAATTAACAAGAAGTCAACTACAGGTGAGTGTAATTATTCATTAAACAAGTGTCCAGCAGTTGATTATAAAGGGCGTTACTTAACAAAGAAATCCCCTTCCCATTTCATGCTGTCAGCAATGGCACCACATGGAAGAGAAATGTCACAAGGCCTGAGAAAGGAAATAATTTCTTTACACAAGAAAGGTGAAGGCTACAAGCAGATCAGCAAAGCTTTACTTATCAGTCAGAATACTGTAGCAGAAGTGGTAAAAAATTTAACAAAGATGGAACTGCAACCATCTCACAGAGACGTCCAGGCGGTCTGGCCCAAGGAAGTTAACACCTCGACAGGAGCGTCTTCTGATGAAAAGGGTTGAAGAAAATTGGCAAGCAAGTTCACTGCAGTTAGCTAAAGAAGTAGAAACCAAACTGGGGTGATTGTATCCCGTGACACAATACGGCTTACACTGCAGAGGAATGGTATGCACAAAAAAGCCTGCCTAGAATTTGCCAGGGCTCATGTTGAAAAAGTAGACTACTGGGACTCTGGACTCTGTACTCTGGAGTGCTGAGACTAAGATATGTTTTTGGAACTGATGGCTTCAAAACTGTATGGCATCGTAGAGGTGAGGAGTACAAAGAAAAATGCATGTTGCCTACAGCAAAACATAGTGGTGGCAGTGTTTTATGGGGCTGCATGAATGCTGCTGGTGTCGGGGAGCTGCATTTCATTGATGGTATCATGAATTCATAGATGTACTGCTCTATATTGAAAGAGAAGATGCTACCATCACTCCATGCCCTTGGTCGGCTTGCACTTTTCCAGCATGACAATGATCCAAAACACACATCTAAGGCCACTATTGCATTTCTGAAGAACAGGGTGGGTGAAAGTGATTCAGTGGCCAAGTATGTCTCCTGATCTAAACCCAATCGAACACCTATGGGGAATTCTGAAGAGACAAGTTGAGCATCACTCTCCATCCTCAAAGATGTCATTCTTGAAAAATGGAAAAAAAGATCGATGTTGTAATATGTCTCCAACTTGTTGATTCCATGCCTAGAGGACTTGGTGCTGTCCTGACAAATCATGAAGGACATACAAAATACTAGATGGAGTAGTTTTTGTTGTGGGGTGTATTCATTTTTGCATCAACTAATTTGAGTAAAACTTAAGATTTTGTAACCTAAGTTATATTATTAACCTTACTTTCATGTAATGAGCTAAACAAATGTTCTATAAAACTCAGTTTTGTCAAAATTGTGGAAATTGTTCTTGTGTTCATTGAGATATTGATTAAAATCTTACTTTTCAAAAGGGATGTACTCATTTAATTTAATGTCAAAGCATGCACTCATAGTGTAACTGTAGCCAAAGTTTTACTTTAGTTTCAGATAAAGTGGTTGGAGATCTAATAGTTCTGCCAGGTTTATTTTTTTTTTTCTATGACCCTGTACAAGAATTGGAGTAGTGTGAGGACAGGAAGGTACAGACAGGGATGTATACATTGTCAGAAATTCTATCCCCTTCCTTACTCTACCAAAATATGTTTTTGTTTTTGCCTGATCAACATTGCAGAAATTTCCCTGACCTAGCAGTAAGTAAGGGGCAGGGCTTATTTTCTCAGAGAAGAGGTGCAGGAACTCTCGCTTTCCAAGTCACCCCTTGTCTCCGTCCCGCACAGTCCCTTGGTTCCACCCCTTACCTACCTCCCAGTAGCACCATTTTAGAGAGTACAGAACCAAGTATCAATTTGTATGAAAATTTTTCATGATAATAAGAAAAGCAGTAAAATATATCCCCTGCAGCCAACAACAATAGACCCCCCTCCCAGCAACAATGGACCACCTGCAACAAAATACCCCCCAGCAACAGTAGGCCCACGGCAACAAAAGATCTCCCCACAGCCCGCATCAATAGACCCGTCAGAAGCTAGCAATGATAGACCCCCCCCTCAACAGTAGATCCCTCCCAGCAACAATTGACCACACAACAACATACCTCCCCAGCAACAATAGATCCCCCACCATCAGCAGTAGAGCTCCCCAGAATCAGCAGATACCCCCTTTCCTGCAAAAAGAGATACCCTCCAGCGACAATAGATTCCATAGAAGCCAGCATCAATGGACCCTGCAATAAACCCCACCACCCCTTGCCATTACATACATTTAGTGCTGGAGGTGCCGAAACTGCGTTCCTCCATGTTCCCGCTGGAAAAAACCTTGTTAAGGGGAATATCTCCAGCTAGCGTACAGACAGCAACATAATCCTGACAGTGGTTCCAACCGTTCTCTAAATCTAAATATAACATTTTGGCTGAAGTTAGGCATTAAGGATGATTAAAGATTTTAACTTGAGTGTTGCATTACTTTTTTGCTGCAAAACCGCCAATCTTTTGCAAAGAGACATAACTATAAATAACTGGTCCCTATAGGAAAATCATGTAAGGCATTTTAATCCTTCAGTATCTGCTGAATTTCTAGACCATAATGTTTTCCACAGATAACATATGACCTTTTAATAGTGCCTTTAGTTTGTTTCAATAGAAGTCTTAATTTAAACATCTTATGTATTTCCTAATGTATTTGTATTTCTTAAGCTAAACAGGAAAATAGAAGAGCAGGGAGGAAGGAGTAACAAAGAAGAAGAGCTCCGGGTTGTGGTTATGGTGTTGTTTATGGTTATTGCTTTTCTGATCTGCTGGCTTCCATACACCATTTTTGCTCTTATTGTTGTCATTAACCCAACACTCTACATTTCTCCTCTTGCTGCAACTCTGCCTACATACTTTGCCAAGACCAGTCCTGTCTACAACCCAATTATCTACATATTTTTAAATAAACAGGTAAGGAGTTGATATGCTTTGATGTGCTTACATGGATCTAAGCAAATAGAAGTGGATTATTATTTTCTTTTTTCACAAGTAAAAAAATGTCGGACCGTATTGGCACAAGCAGATGATGGAGAAGTCCCTGGTGGTACTATCAGGTTTATAATAAGCATTCTGTAGCCACTTTACTGGGTACTTGAATCTAGGGCAGGTACAGAGTTCTTTCCTCACTTCTTTGCAAGACATATATCTATAGATTCATGCCATGTACATCAAATTCTGACATGTCACCAACAGCATAGAGATCAAAACTCATTAAACCAGGGTTACAGTTTTTTACAGTCTTCATACTTCATAGTTCATTTTCATGGATTCTTGCCTGGGTCTACCTCTGTCAGCCTCACTGTCAGGGCTCCGGGTATGACCAGAGGTATGTGAACTGACGCAGGGAAACGCAGGCTTCAGATATGTTATAAACAATATAATTTATTAATACTAACAATACATAAACGCAGTGCAATACTAAAACATAAACACAGTGCAACAAACCAAACCACCCACAGATAACAATACGTACAATGCAAGCGTAGTCAGGCAGGCCGGGTCAATAACAATCAGGCAGGTAGGAGCAGGAGGAGCAGGCAGAGAGTGGTCAGGTCACGAGCCGGGTACAGCAACTAACGGGCAGGTAAGTACAGGGGGTCAGGCAGAGAATGGTCGGGGTCACAAGCCAGGGATCAAACAGGAGAAGTCAGCAGAGGTCCGGATCAGGCAGGGTCAGCAACAAATCAGTCAGACAGGAACAGGAACAGGAATGCAGGTAACAAGATACAGGGGCCCATGGAAAAACACACACCAAGGCACAGACTGCAGGTCTGGCCATCCCTTAAATACACCACCTGCAATCAGCCTCAGGTGTTTTGGCTGACTGCAGGGTTGTCTCTGATTGCTGAGAGCACCCGCTGGCCAGCCCTGGTACTGCAGCCCACAAGGCAGGTAAGTCCCACCATTATTGGCAAGTCCATTCCTGACAGTACCCCCCCCCTCAAGGAGTGGCCTCAGGACGCTCCAAACAGTCCTAGCTGGGCAAAATGTTCCACTGCCCGGGTCTGGTAACTGGCGGGATATCAAAAACTGGCACATCGGGCTGGACTCCGGGCAGCGGCACATCGGGCTGGACTCCGGGCAGCGGCACATCGGGCTGGACTCCGGGCAGCGGCACAGGGCCCCCAGGAGGAGCGGCAGGCACCGGGCCCCCAGGCGGGGCGGCAGGCACCGGGCTCCCAGGAGGAGCGGCAGGCACCGGGCCCCCAGGAGGAGCGGCAGGCACAGGGCCCCCAGGCGGAGCGGCGGGCGCCAGGCCCCCAGGCGGAGCGGCAGGCGCTGGGCCCCCAGGCGGAGCGGCGGGCACCGGGCCCTCAGGAGGGGCGGCAGGCGCCGGGGGCCCCCCCAGGCGGAGCGATGGGCGCCGGGCCCCCAGGCAGAGCGATGGGCGCCGGGCCCCCAGGCAGAGCGGCAGGCACCGGACCCCCAGGAGGGGCGGCGGGCACCGGGCCCCCAGGCGGAGCGGCGGGCACCGGGTCATCAGGCACGACAGCGGGCATTGGGTCAACAGGCATCAGGTCATTTGGCTCGCCAGCGGGCACCGCGTCATCTGGCAAGGCAGTGGGCACCGAGTCACCAGGCACGACAGTGGGTTCTGAGTCAACTGGCATGACCGCGGGCACTGGGTCAGACATTGGATCGTCTGGCTCTACAGCGGGCATCAGGTCACCAGGCATCAGGTCATTTGGCTCGACAGCGGGCACCACGTCATCTGGCAAGGCAGTGGGCACCGAGTCACCAGGCACGACAGTGGGCTCTGAGTCAATTGGCACGACAGCGGGCACCGGGTCACCAGGTACCGGATCGTCTGGCTTGACAGCAGGCACCGGGTCATCTGGCGCTGGATCGTCTGGCTCGACAGCGGGCATCGGGTCACCAGGCATGACAGTGGGCACTGGGTCATCAGGCATTGGATCGTCTGGCTCGACAGCGGGCATCGGGTCACCAGGCATGACAGCGGGCACTGGGTCATCAGGCATTGGATTGTCTGGCTCGACAGCGGGCATTGGGTCACCAGGTATGACAGCGGGCACTGGGTCACCAGGCATCAGGTCATTTGGCTCGCCAGCGGACACCGCGTCATCTGGCAAGGCAGTGGGCACCGAGTCACCAGGCACGACAGTGGGCTCTGAGTCACCAGGCATGACCGCGGGCATTGGGTCAGACATTGGATCGTCTGGCTCGACAGCGGGCATCGGGTCACCAGGCATCAGGTCATTTGGCTCGACAGCGGGCACTGCGTCATCTGGCAAGGCAGTGGGCACCGAGTCACCAGGCACAACAGTGGGCTCTGAGTCAATTGGCACGACAGCGGGCACCGGGTCATCAGATACCGGATCGTCTGGCTCGACAGCAGGCACCGGGTCATCTGACGCTGGATCGTCTGGCTCGACAGCGGGCATCGGGTCACCAGGCATGACAGCGGGCACTGGGTCATCAGGCATTGGATCGTCTGGTTCGACAGCGGGCATCGGGTCACCAGGCATGACAGCGGGCACCGGGTCATCAGGTACCGGATCGTCTGGATCGACAGCGAGCACCGGGTCATCTGGCATTGGATCGTCTGGCTCGACAGCAGGCATCGGGTCACCAGGCATGACAGCAGGCACTGGGTCATCAGGTACCGGATCGTCTGGATCGACAGCGGGCACCGGGTCATCAGGCATTGGATCGTCTGGCTCGACAGCGGGCATCGAGTCACCAGGCATGACAGCGGGCACCGGGTCATCAGGTACCGGATCGTCTGGATCGACAGCGGGCACCGGGTCATCTGGCGTTGGATCGTCTGGCTCGACAGCGGGCATCGGGTCACCAGGCATGACAGCGGGCACTGGGTCATCAGGCATTGGATCGTCTGGCTCAACAGCGGGCATCGGGTCACCAGGTATGACAGCGGGCACTTGGTCATCAGGCGTAATAGGATCATCAGGCTGGATCAGTTCATCAGGCTGGGTAGAGACATCAGGCTGAAGTGCGGGTGCCGAGGCACCAGGCTGAACCACGGAAGGCAGGTTCTCAGACGGCAGGCTCACCGGTTTGGATACTGGCAGGATGGTACTGGTTGGAAAGAATTTTCGCTTTTTTCTGGTTTTAACTACTGGAGCACTGCAAGTAAACGCAGGTCTGCAAACGAATGGAGCAGCTGAGGACAGAGAAGAGCTGGAAGATGGAACAGAGGAGGAAGCAGCCGCCACAGAGGACCTCTCCACAGGGCCAAAGAAAGGATAGTCATTCCTGCTTTCAGGGGTACCAGATGAAGCCAACTCTACACAAACCTGAATCAAAGGTTGCACCTCAGAGAACTCTGTGCCCTGATCTACTAGAACATGAGCGATCCATATACATTCTAGCAGTTGATCCCGGGTATACTCCCTCAGAGTCTGATAAGCATATTCTCTGTCATCAAAAACCAGCAGCGACAAATACACAACCTCATCAAGATCCATCCTCCCAGCAACAAGCCAAGATGGCTTCCCTGTGCAGCCACTTCTGGTCAGGATTGGCCTTGGTGTAATGTCAGGGCTCCGGGTATGACCAGAGGTATGTGAACTGACGCAGGGAAACGCAGGCTTCAGATATGTTATAAACAATATAATTTATTAATACTAACAATACATAAACGCAGTGCAATACTAAAACATAACACAGTGCAACGAACCAAACCAAACCACCCACAGATAACAATACGTACAATGCAAGCGTAGTCAGGCAGGCCGAGTCAATAACAATCGGGCAGGTAGGAACAGGAGGAGCAGGCAGAGAGTCGTCAGGTCACGAGCCAGGTACAGCAACTAACAGGCAGGTAGGTACAGGGGGTCAGGCAGAGAATGGTCGGGGTCACAAGCCAGGGATCAAACAGGAGAAGTCAGCAGAGGTCCGGATCAGGCAGGGTCAGCAGCAAATCAGTCAGACAGGAACAGGAATGCAGGTAACAAGATACAGGGGCCCATGGAAAAACACACACCAAGGCACAGACTGCAGTTCTGGCCATCCCTTAAATACACCACCTGCAATCAGCCTCAGGTGTTTTGGCTGACTGCAGGGTTGAGTCTCTGATTGCTGAGAGCACCCGCTGGCCAGCCCTGGTACTGCAGCCCACAAGGCAGGTGAGTCCCACCATTATTGGCAAGTCCATTCCTGACACTCACATTGTTATTATTAGGTGACAGAGGTAGACCCAAGCATGGTAATTTTTTCTGACATGTTACATACATGTACTCTGATGTCTTCAAGTACGATACAGGAAGCCGAGGGACCACACATAGGGGTTGATTTACAAAAACTGCAGCAATCAGAATCCGGTGTAGCTGTGCATGGTAGCCAAACAGCTTGTAACTTCAACTTGTTCAATTAAGCTTTGGCAGTAAAACCAGGAAGCCGATTGGTTTCTTTGCAGAGCTGGACCAGATTTTGCACGCTCCAGTTTTATTAACTAGCGCCAACAGCCCAGAGCACTGGCTGTTGAAGGAGCAGGGGGCAAGGTAAGTCTAACAGTAATTTTTACTGGTACCCAAGACATAAACACATATGAACCCTTGCAGTGGTTAGGAATTTCCACTGAATGGGTTTTTTTCCCCCTGGAGTTCAGCTTTAATAAAGTAATCACTGAGTGCACTCTAAGGCTACTTTCACACTGATCCGCAGCAAAACCGCCTCAAAAACACATAGGAGCTTTTGCCACGTTTTTACCGCATTTTTTAAAGGACACGTGACTTAAAACTGTGCCAAAAACGCCTCTCAGTGGCATTTTCCAGGCTTTTTCATTCATTTTAATGGAAAGAGGTGTTTTTGGGGTGTTTTTTTTAAACATGCCCCAAAGATGCTGCAAGCAGGAGTTTTTACACCGCACCACAAGCGCAACGCCTCAGTGTGAAAACATACATAGATATATATTCACATTTATTTTTATTTTATTTATTTAT